CTCGCAGGAGGCTTCTCGCCCCCACATTGGTAAGAACAGAGTGCGAGGTGGAGGAACGCAAACTCTGGGGTCAGATTGTCTGGAGTGAATCAGCTCAGCCTGCCCCCCGGCTGTGTGGCCTTAGGCAAGTTCCTTCACCTCTCTGTGCCTCAATCTCCCCAGGTGCCAAACAAGACTACACTGTTGGGAGAGTTTAAAGATGGTTTATGCAGATGGAGCCCAGCCCAGGCCTGGCGTGGAGGTCATCAGACACACTGGCCGCCATTCTGCAGGTGGAGGGGTGGTGGTGAAATCGGGCAGAAGGTGTCCCAGAGAATGACCCTTCCCATCCAGCAAGCCCCTGGGAAGGCGGACCGTACCTCTACAGTGGGGCTGCTCCCCGGTCCAGGTGCCGTTGGGAAGACACACCACGCTGCTGGGCCCAACCAGCCGGAAGCCAGGGTTGCAGGTAAAATGGACCTCGTGATCCACTAAGTACTTGCTCCCAAACTTTCTGCCGTCTGGAGGGGCGCTCAGAGCAGGACAGGAGACTGTAAGGAGAAGAGGGAAGCCCACGGCCATTTAGACATCACTCTGGATTACCAGGTGTCTCTCCTTTAGCTCCCGGGCTATGCACTGGGCTGGACATTTGAAACGCTATGCATCATAGAATCCTCAAAGCACTCTTGGGCACAGGTCACGTATGCCCGCTTGGTGAAGGACGAGGAGATGGCGGCTCAGAGACACTGAGTGTCGTGTGCAAGGCCCGGCAGCATGGGAGGGTTGGAGCTGGGACCCCGCAGGGCCCACCCACTCGCTCTGCCCTCTCAGAGCCCCAGCCACCCGGGGTTTCCTTGGTTCACCTGAGCCGCCCCACCTCCAGGCCCCGGCTTTTGCCCTTCTCTCTGCGTGGAATGTTCTTTCCCCAGGACTTCCCGTCTCTGGCTGCTTCTCTCTCTTCAGGTCTTGACTCGAATGGCCAGCACCTCCCAGCGTGCTGACGACCGTGCTTAGCTAAACCGCCCCCGTGAGCTCACTTTGCTCCCTTCTAGCATCTGTAACCGTGGGAGTTATCTCACTGACGTGTTTGGAGGCAGTCTTCTCCCTCAGAATGCAGCTCCGGAGGGCGAGGACCACGCCCGGCCTCCGGTCACCCCTGCATCCCGGCACCAGCCCAATGCCTGGGACCTGGGGAGTGCACACTAAATAATTCTTGACCAAATGAACAAATGAAAAATGGTTTCTTGAGTTCTTACTATGTGCCTGACACTATATTAGGAATTGGAGGTAATTAGTGAACAAAACAGACAAAACCTGGCTCTCAGGAAGCCCCCTTTCTAGCAGGGGAGTCCCTGGATAAGCAAAGTCCACAAGCAAATGGCAGAGTGTGACAAGAAGTGACAAATGTCACGTAGAAAACAAAGTAAGGCATAGTGCTGGGGATGCCAGAGAAGGGGCACAATGTGGATATGGAGGTCAGGGGAGGCCTCGTTGGGACAGAGTTGAAGAAGGTGAAGGCATCGCTGTGCAGGTATCCAGGGATGGCAGAGGGACTGAGCAGGTGCAAAGGCCCTGAGGTGGGAGTGTGCCTGGCAGATCTGAGGAGTGTCCAGGAGACCACTGTGGCTGCAGTGGAGTGGACGAGCTGGACAATAGTTGGGGATGACTTCAGAGAGGCAGCTGGGGGCCGAAGAGAGCAATGTCACACGGCATCTCAAAGAAAAGGCCGGGCAACTTGCTCGCTGACCTGCGGGCTCACAGCATCACTCTGGCGGCTTGAGTGCAATGTCCGATGTGAGAGGGGACAGACAGGGGAGCAGGCCAGGGGCAGGATGAAGGCGGCTCAGCCCAGGGTTGGAGTGTGGAGCTGGGAGAGATGGCTGGAACCCTGGCTGTGCTGTGGGGGCAGAACCAACTGGACTTGCTGAAGGATCTCTGGGCTGGAGAGAGGAGAGAAGGTCCCCATTCCCCCTGTCCCTGGCGCCGAGCGCCACGTGTGGTCCAGGCTTGCCTAAAGGGGGTGAGCCTGAGTGGTGACAGGTTGGGTTTGGATTTAGCTGAGCTGGGACTCCAGAGTCATTTCTACCAGGTTTCAAAGTAAGTTCCGAGTGTCTGTAAAAACACTCTCAGGGTTTTAGACAGATGAAAATGAAGCTGTTGCTTCAGCTGAGCAGGTTGTAGTGCGTGACAGACTCGCCCAGCATCCACCGTGAGGGGAGCCTCTGCCTACACGTTGCTCCGGGGGCAGCGGGCCGGCAGCCTCGGCTCTGCCCCAGCTCCCTCCTGTGTCCTGGAGGCAGGGCAGGAGCCAGCCCACCCCTGAGGACTCTCAGGGCCCTTTGGCTCCTGCGGAGCATCTGACCATGGCTGTCACCCTCCTTTAGTAAACCTCCAAGTTGGCACCAAGTGGTGATGCCTGTGCAAGCGGGAAGCCAGTGTGAGCCCACATCCCAGTGCTTGGGCGCTCCCAGCTCACCGCCTCAGTTCCTGCACGTACATGACTTTATAGTTCTTATTAAAAAATCTATTGCAGGGGGGAGGGTATGGCTCAATGGTAGAGTGCATGCCTAGCATGCACAGGGTCCTGGGTTCAATTCCCCAGTACCTCCATTAAAAATAAATAAATAAATAAACCTAAATCCCACCCCCCCCATTTAAAAAACATTAAAATATCTACAGTTGCACTGTGTGGAAAAGAATGTAAAATGCTCTGGGGGAAAGGAGTAGGGTCTCTTTGGAGAAGAGAAACCTTTAAAATCCTCAAAAAAGAAAACTGACCTGCTGGAGCAACTCGCAGGTAAGTGGCACCTGAATGGATGGAGCTGTACCTGGCACACAGCCCGACAGCTGTCAGTGGACTTCATGAATGGATACAGATTAATTAGAAATCAATCTGCAGGCACTTCCCCAAATGGGAGCCAAAGGCCCCTGTGGGGCAGAAGGACGTGCCCCTTGGCCGGTCCGTTTCATCCCAGTCACATCCTAGGTGCGTCTATGGGGCTACTGGGAAGCTGCCCTCACCTTCCTGAAGGAGGATACAGTGTAAGAATGAGCTCAGCAGTGACGCCATCCTGGCGATTTGGGAACCTGAGTGGAACGAGGCTGCTGGGATGAGCTCTATAGCTGGTGGCTTGTGTGGCTCTCAGGAAAGAAAGGCTGGGAAACAGGAAGGAGAAACTTAGAGTGCAAGCCAGAAAGAGGAAGGCCCAGGATTCTCCAGGACTAGAAACTGTTCTTCCTGACTCTCAGAAAATGCCCTTAAAAAAAAAAGAATAGATAATTTTCCTAGTACCTGTAGTTTCATCTGGGGCAAGCTCCTGGCTTCCCCACCACCCCGACCCCAGGCACAGGTGTGGCACCGTCCTCCCCTTCTGTGGGGTCCTGACAGCTCCCTGCCCCCATGCCCAACACACCAGAGAGACAGAACTCATGGTGGCAGTTCTTCAAATGCAGAATTGGCCACTTTCAACAATTCTGCATGGTTCAGGGTAGAAAAACCCTGAAGCTGGTGATGAGAGGCTTAGTAATTCAACAACAGCTACCTTCCTGTCTATACTCCCAGACAGAGACCTCTAATGTGCGTGGGGCGGTTGCAGAAATTATCTCCTGCAGGTTCTCCTTGAAACCCCCAGGAGCTCTGATCCCATGAAAATAGAAAAGATCTGCGCAGCTGACCCTTCAGCAGAAAACAAAACTCATCGGAGCTGGGACCCACCACCGCTAACTCACATCTCTCGGACTCAGTTTCCCCATCTGCAGCAGAAAGGAAGGATGCCCTGCCCGTCTCTCAGAGCCTGGCTGTGATGAGCCCCACCAAAAGCCGGGGCCTCACGGCACCTTGGGAAGTGTGCCGAGTTTGGCGGGCAAGTTCTGCACCCGTGGAGCCAAGGAAAACAGGAGCCGACTCTGGATTTGCCACCACGGTCTCGGAAAAGGTGGGAAATCCAACTCAGGAAACTTCATCTCACACCACAAAGAAGGCCCTTGATAAATGTCTTAAGTAAGTAAATGACAGCAGATATTCCATAGGCTCCTGATTTAGAACATATGACCCTCCCAACCTGACCCCCATCACCCCGAGGGGAGGCCAGGGGAAGTCCAGCTGTCCATGTCCAGGCCTTGGTGGTGTGGGAGCAGGCCAACACTCAGTGTCTGTCAGAGTCCTACTCTCAGGGGAAGGGGTCTGGGGGGCCCACTGTAACTTCACCAGACAAAACGGGACTTGCCCTCAGCAGCCCCTCCCTCCCACCCCACTGGCACTCATAGGGGACGCATGGGGGAGGACCAGTTTCCATGCTGGGAAAATGGAAGCCAGTGTTGGTTGGTGAGCTGTACCAGGTGGGCCACGCTGGTGCGGGACGTGGCTGGCGGGGAGGGCGCGTGTAGATGGGAACGTTCTGCGCTTTCCATTCAGTTTTGCTGTGAACTTAAAACTGCTCTAAAAAATAGCCTACCCAATTAAAAACAAAAATGGAGTCAACCAGGGTCTACCTGGGTGGGGACAGGGAAGGGAGAAGCAGCTCACGCCCTGAACATGGTGCCTTTCAACAATTCTCCGGAGATGCTACTTAGGCGTGAGCGTGGCCGAGCCCAGAATGGAGAGGTCTCCCAGGAAGCGGGCGACACTCAGATGAGGGGCAGAGAGCCGGCCGGTGCCTTCTCAGCACACACACCTGGGCCCCCGACCATCCAGCCCCAGACAGAAGGCGGGGCAGGGGAGGGCCCGGGAATCCATCCACTGTGAGCCTCAGCCAGGCGGGGGAGATGGGGACTGGGAGCAGCCCTGGGGCCCGGGCTGGTGACTTGGGGACCCACCTGAGGGCGCGTCGGGGCCCGCTCTGCTCACGGAGCTCTGCAGCGCGGCCAGCCGGCTCTTCATGTGACGGACGCCCTCAGCGAAGCGCGTCTCCTGGCCCTTCAGCAGCTGCTGCAGCTGGCGGATGGCCGTGAGGAGCTGCTGTTTGCTGAGACAGTTCTGGGAAGAGAAGAAAATCACCACCACCACCCGCGTGGGGGCTGGGTCAGTCCCACCCTTCACTCTGGGCTTCCAGACATCACCAGGACCCCAGACCGAAACACCCTGGGACGCGCTGAGTACAACATGCAAGTGGCCCCACCAGGCATCCCGCCATCTGTCAGGTTAGGTCACCAATGGGAGGCCCCAAATGCACAGAATGGAGCCCAGCGCACCCCTCAACAGAAACAAAGTGCCCATCTTCATAGCGAAGGGCAGGAGGGATGACCCCGAATGACTGGGCGGCTGAACGCAATGTGCTTTATGTCAGGTGTCTTCCTCCAGAGACGCCGCTAACTCTTCACTCTCAGCTAATGCTCTGAAATCTGGGCCTCGGGAAACCTTTTCTTTCTTTCTCCCTTGGACATTTTTAACAGCAGATGGATGATAAAATATATAAAACAGCCAAAACAGGAAGGCCCAATGGTTCTGATGCTTTAAAAAATGTAACAGGGCAAATAAGAAAAAAAAATTCTATAATAGAGTTAAAGAAGCATTCCATAAAAGTCAATGTTGAGTTCTGGTGATATTTTAAAAAGCTTAAAAAAACAGAAAAAGGAGATGTGCTTATCATGATAAAGACTATTTAACCTTTTAAAGCAACACCCAGCATCACGCTTAGTGATACAAATCTCAAGATTTCTAATGTCAAGGGCTTTCAGGAGCCAGGACGTGGGCAGGAGGAAAGCAGGGGTGAAGACAGGGCAGTGATGGGACCTTGGCCTTGGCTCACGTGGGCGCTGGCGTTACCCCACCCCCCTCTAACCTGACTCGTTATTACCTGCACAGAACAAAGGGGAACACGGAAGACAAGGATGGTTCTCTCTTGGGACAGGCTGATGGATCATGTTTTACTTTATTTTTTTATACTTGAATTTTTTTCTACAATGATTATTAGTTTTATAATTTAAAAAAATGTCCAAAAGGCAGGAGGCAGCTAGAGGGCATGTGGCCTCTGTAGCCTGGGTGGCTTCCAGCCTGGCCAGTGGAGCGCTGCCTCGGCGGTGGAAACAGAGCCGCGGCCGCCCTCCCAGGGAGCCTGCCAGGCCGCTGCACCTTGGAGATTTCACCAAACAGATGACTCACTGGCCTGGTTCAATGGATGCTTTTGACCAAGCTGAATCCCCAGTTGCCCCTGGAACTCGTTAATCCATGGGGGCTCCTTGGCTTCCACCCTAACCAGCGCCTGACTAGGCCTGGCCCCAGACACAGTTGCTGGGAAGGGAAGGTTTGTTTGTTCTTTCCTCCTCCCCCATCATGGTCCTTCCCACGCAGGTTCTGGGCACCTGGGCAGTGACCTCCTGCAGCCCCTACCTGCCCAGCGCTGCCCGGCCCTCCCACCCAGGCCTGATTTCCCACACCCACCTCCCCTCCCTTAAGGAAAAAAAAAAGGGCTGCTTTCAGAGATGGCTTCATGCCCACGTGGGATTTACATTTGTGACGTTCCTCACAGTTTCTTGGCTACTTCCAAGAGGACCACTGGCTGGAAGCAACCTTGGGAAGGAGGCCTGGGATGGTCTCCATTTCACAAAACAAGATACAGAGGCTGAAAGTCAAGTGACTTGTCCCACATCATGTGGCTTATGAGCAGTAGAGCCAGGCTGGGGACCTGCCGACTCCTGCCCCAGCGTCCCTGCCAAGAGGTCTGTGCCCCAGTGGCTGTCTTATGCCCTGTCTCCTTTCTTCTGCACATACTCCTGTGTGGCGAATGGTCTTATTGGCTGATTTGTATTAGGGATTGATAACTCTAACCCAAGCAAAACATCCCAGAGGTGTGGATTTCTGACTTCTGTGCAGATTTCGGGTTGGGGCACATGGGCAATGGAGACAGGAAGTGGGGAGGGGACGGACAAAACACCCCCACACTGAGCCAGGTGGCAGCTGCATCCCTTCTCTACAGGGCAGCCAGGGGGTGACAGCTGGGAGGGGGCAGTCCTAGGGGACACGGAGGGTCTAAGTTGTGAAGTGGGGGACCAGAGATCAGTGCCAGGACCTTTGCTGGGAACCTGGGGGTAGTGACGTGTGGCTCCAGTAAGTGCAGAAAGAAGGGCAGCAGGAGTGGACGGAAAGGGGTCTGGGTTCCCCTTGGCGTCTTGAACGCCAGTGCTCCCGGGTCCAGGCACACTGTCCTCTGCTTGTCGCCAGACTGCCCACGAGCCCTTCCTGCCGCCCACACCGCAGACAGCAGGCACCAGCACCTCTCTCCCGAAGCGCTCATCACAGGCGTACTCATCTCGCCAGTCCCAGTGAAAAAACCGTCAAGACCAAGCACGCTAAGGCCACATCCAGGAGGAGACAGAGGGGAGGGGTCGTGGGCAGACTTCCTGAGGGATGGTTGGAATGCCCTCACCATCCCTGCTTCCAACCTCGCCAGGATGATGCTAACAGAACAAAATGTTAGAAGATCCTCATAAGCCTAGAAATAAACCCATGCATACGTGGTCAACTAATCTATGACAGACGAGCCAAGAATATACAATGGCCAAAGGCCAGTCTCCTCAATAAATTGTGCTGGAAAAAACTGGACAGTAACATGCGAAAGGATGAAACTGGACCCCTGTTTTACACCATTCACAGAATCCACTCAAATTAGATTAAAGGCTTGAATGTAAGTCCTGAAACCATAGAACTCCTAGAAGAAGACATAGGCAGCTCTCTGATATCAGTCTTGGTGACGATTTTTTTAGAAAAATTTGACCCCAAAAGCAAAAATATACAAGTGGCACTAAAGCAAAACAAAAAGCTTCTATACAGTCAAGGAAACATGAGCAAAATGAAAAGGCAACCTGCAGAATGGGAGAAAATATTTGCAAATCGTTATCTGATGAGGGGTTAGTGTCCAAAATATATAAAGAACTCATACAACTCAATAGCAAAAAAAAAAAATCAGATTTAAAAATGGGCAGAGGATCTGAATAGAGAGAGTTTTTCCAAAGAAGATGTTCCAAAGATGGCCAACAGGGACATGAAAGGGCGCTCAGCATCACTAACCATCAGGGAAATACAAATCAAAACAATAACGATAAAGCACACCTGTCAGAATGGCTACGATCGAAACGACAAGAAATAACGTGTTGGTGAAAGTGTGGATAACAGGGAGCCCTCCTGCACTGTTAGAGGGAAGGCAAATTGGTGCAGCCACCGCAGAAAGCAGTATGGAGTTTACTCAAAAAATTAAAAGTAAAACTACCCTATGATCCAGTAATTCCACTTCAAGGTCCATATCTGAAGGAAACAATATCGTATCTTGAAAAGACATATGCACCCCCGTGCTCACTGCAGCATTATTTTCAATAGCCAAGACATGGAAACAACCTAAGTGTCCATTGATGGATGAATAGAAAAAGAATATGTGGAAAAAGTCATAAAAAGGAATGAGAGCCTGCCCTCTGTGACAATGTGCATGGACCTTGAGGACAACGTGCTAAGTGACGGAAGTCAGACAGAGAAAGACAGACACTGTATGATCTCAATTATATGTGGAATCTGAAAAAAACGGAGCTCACAGACAGAGAGAAGAGCTTGGTGGTTGCCAGAGGCAGGGGGTGGAGGGTGAGGGAAATGGGTGAAGGGAGTCAAAAAGTCAAAACATCCAGTTATAAGGTAAGTAAGTTCTGGGAATGTCGTGTACAGCATGGTGACTATGGTTAATAATACTGTATCACATATATAAAAGTTACTAAGAGAGTAAAAGTTCATATCTGGAGGAAAAAAGTGCAACGATGTGAGGTGAAAGATGTTAACTGGACTTACTGCAGTGATCATCTCATGATGTATACGTATGTCAGATCATTATGTTGTACACCTTGGACAAATACAATGCTATTACATATTTACATTATATTATATAATTGTATCTCAATAAAACAAGGGGGGATAAAATTCGCGAGGAGAAAAGAAAAGGAAGATCCTTGTCTCCTTGGCAAGCCAGCGTGGTCAGGGCCAAGGTGTCAAGACAATGGGAAAAATTACTGCCTTTCAACACAAGGTTTGATGGGTCTGTGCGGCAGCTGATGGGAACGGGGCAGTTCCTTCATCCCAAAGGGCTAGAAACAGAGAGTCCCCAGGAGCCACGCTCAGAACTCGTCCCCGTAGCGGACTTTGGCACAGACAGAACTGAGTTCATTTTTTTTTTAAATGGATGTCCTGGGGATTGAACCCAGACCCCCATGCATGCTAAGCATGTGCTCTACCACTGAGCTAGACCCTCCCCACCCCACCCCATCGCCGACCGTCATTTTTAATATTTTTCTCCAAGAGAGCCCTTCAAATGCTGTAAGTTTGCATCCTTTCAGTACCTGTCTCCACACCTGGGCTTATGCCATCGACAATAAATAATGAAAATTAGTTTCCGTTGCTTTGAGTTAGTAACTAATTTCTAATGGAACCAAGAAAAGACATTCAGTGACACGCTCCCATTCCTGAGGAGAAAAAGATCAAGATTTACCATTCCTGGTATCAAAGGGATGGACACTGCACTGCACGCAACAGCAGGGGCAGGGTTTGCAGAGACGTGAAGCAGACAGAGAAGCGGCAGCAGTGGTCACCCCAGCCAGCTCCTCCCGAGCGGCGGTGCAGGTGGCACAGAGGGTTCTGGAACACAGCGCTGAGGGGCAGGGGGGGAGGGCGCTGGGTCTAAGGCTCCGAGGAGCACGGAGGCCACCCCACCCCATCTCCAGCGAAAGTCTTGTCCCATCTTCCCTCTGACCCATCCCCTCATAATATTCACTCTAGTGGGTCTAGAGGGGATGCCGAGCTTACAACACTCCTCTTCCTCTGAGACCAACCAGCTCCCAAGTCACCTGCTGTCCCCACAAAGATGGTATGTGTCCCCCCACCCTAGATTGCCCCATCCGTGTGCCAGAACCCGGTAGGTGGACCCCTCCCACCCCATCTAGGCCTCCTTGCTGTCGGGGCTCCATTTATAAATGCAGCCCAGCTCTCAGGGCACCGAGGGACCT